CCTGGCAGTGCCCTGACAGACCTTCCCTCGGCACACACAGAGTAAGCACCAGATTCTCTCCCTCCTTTAAAAGGCACAGCCCAGGCCCTCCCTGCTGACCTCATTTAAGCTTATTTACTTCCTTAGAGGCCCCATTTCCATCTAGCCATACTGCGAACTTTTGGGCAGGGGATGTAAACTTTCACTCCATAATACATATTCTTATAGGCAATCTCTTCTTGTTGCTTACAGAGACTCAAGTTGTCCAGGCCTTTGAAAAACAAAACAGGAAACTTTCGTTTATGAATAGAGCAATAACATTTGTCAAACTCAAAAGCTTCAGGAAGAATTTGATGGAAAGCATAATCTGAATCAACTGGATGCTTATGGAAACAGTGTACTTTGAAATAATTATTTTGGCAAGAGAAAGTCACCTTTTGTGGGAACATAAAAAGTGCACGTTGACTTTTTATGTGGGCAGGAATTGATTATTAATGGTGATTGCCATTGCTACCAGTTTCTGACCACCATGGCTGGTACTCATATGACCTTAAATCCTCACCCTGTGATGTAATCTTCCTTGCTATTTCACTTTATCAGATGAGACCCCCAAGTAACTGCGCTAAGTGGGTCCTGTGACTTCGGGTAGTGTGTTTTCCTGGATTGAAGGGATAATTCTCACTTTCCACTGCATAGTTTTCTATATGAATTGTTCACCATGAACATATATTTTTTAAGATCACAAAAGTTATTTCCATCTTGAAAAATGATATGAATGTCTACAGAAATTGAGAGTGAAACAGAAGAAATAACCAGGTCTGTTTGAGAGTATTTATGATGTGCAACCTGCTATATATTCTAGATGTACTCGGGAGGGAGGACTGAGAGTGACAGGGATTAAGCAGCATCTTATTTAGTATGCATTTTGGTGGTGATTATAATGTACACACTATTTTTTAAAAAATATTTATTCATGCATACAAGAACTAGGGTGCAGGCCAAAGGGGAGGAGGTGGGGGTAGTGGTGAGAGGATTCACCAGAGACAGAGTGAGGAGCAGAACAGGCCGACTGACTGAAATATACTGCTGAGGGGAGCAGCAGGCGGGACTGGAGAGGTCTGCCGGGCCATGTGGTCACCTCCCTGGCCAGGACTGAACTTATACTGCAGTGACTGCAGACAGCTACAGAGTGCTACGCATTAACCCACTGCATCACTAGGGAGGACCCCTGATGTACACACACTCTTAACAATAGTGGTGAAATATTATTTGGCCATAAGAGGGAATCTAGCTGTTTGTGACCCCTCCGACCCCAGCCCTGTCTTAGGCAGGATTTGGAATTTTATATGTTAGATCGCAAATGGCTGTCCTCATTGTGACCCATCACTGTATTTCCTGTATCATATGTGCAATAATTTGGCCTTTTTATGGCATTTAAAAACTCATTATTATAAAAATGAGAGGGAAATGAAGAAATCTATAATACAAAGCGTAGGTGTTAGCTCGATAGTGCTGAGACAAGATAAAATCCTGAGCTTTGCCTAAAGTGCTCAATATTTGCTTTAATCTGATGCTCTTTGGAATCCAGCCAATTGAATCTGTGTTGTATTGTGAAGGGAGATAACATATTTAAAAATCACATGTGAAGCACTGGAAATATATCACAGATGATTACGTCTAAAAGGCAAAGTGTTTAAAGGAAGGATTGTATAATATTATCTCTGCAGAATGGAACCTCATACAACACATAATTTTTTGCACAATCTATGTCAGTATACATTTTCAGAAATTATGTGAAGACAGGAACTGGAAGTATATGGAGGTGAGAGTGACAGAGTGCGTTTTTTTTTTTTTAAAGCATGCAGTCTCCAAGTCCTACAATTTTAAGGTCCAGGCGAGACAGGTGAATAAGTGTTACTTATACCCAAGCAGTACACACTGGTGATTGCAGTCGTGAAACAGATACTTTTTCAGTATATATTTATTGACTTAGGCAATGGGAATCTAACATAAAGTAAACTAATGAATTTCTCTTTGAGCTCTTTGAGTGTTACACACTGCAGACATCCACATGTCTGTACTATGAGAGTCATAGTTGGGGATTTATGAAGGACTCTGTCGCTGAGGTTTGAATGATGAGCAGAAGGCTAATGAGAAGAAGCTTCTAGAAAAGGCATTCCAACCGGAGGGAAAATATTGTCCAAAGATCCTGTGGTGGGTTACTGGGGTGAGTGGTGAGGCTTGGGGTGAGGCTGGAGTGGGAAGGGAATGGAGCAGGTTGGAGAGTTAAGAGTTGGCCTTTGGACAAGGAGCAGCGGCTGCCATGAGGGTGGTTTTTTTTTTTTTTTTTTTTTAAAGATTTATTTATTTGTGCATACAGAACTGGGGTACAGGCCAGAGGCTCAGGGGCGGTGAGAGGCTTCACCAGAGACAGAGTGGGGAGCAGAACAGGCAGATCGACGAAGTACACTGCCGAGGGGAGCAGCGGGCGGGTCAGGAGAGGTCTGCCACACCCTGTGGTCACCTCCAGGGCAGACGGGAATCGAACTCATGCGGTAGTGGCTTTAGATTCTCAGTGCTGTGCTTTAACCCGCTGCGCCACCAGGGAGGGCCCATGAGGGTGTTTTTAGCAGTTGGCAGTGGGGTGCTCCCGTTTGATGGTATCATCAGCTTTGTGTTTGCAAGTACAGATCTGGTCACAGTGTAGCAGATGGACTGGATGGATGTACACGGCTGGATGGACATACGCGAACACTTACAGACCTTGCTAATATCCCGGATGAGCCTTGATGGAGTCCAGGCTTTGCCCATCCTTCTTCAGCTTCCTCTGTTGTCCAACTCAGGTGTTGGATGGGTAGGGGGTTGGCTCTTTGGGCTTGGGGAGGAGACCTGGAAATTCCTAAGTGCAGTGCATTATTATTCCTGCACTGCTGCTCAATCCTTCCATGGTACTTGAGGCCTCAGACTCCCAAGAGTTTATTCCTGAGGTTCATCATTCCATTTCACTTCCCCCCACCGCCTGCAGGTGTTCAACTTTCATATCCTGCCCTTCTCCTAAGCCAAATGCTGCTGCCCGGGGTTTTCACCATCCCCCAAGTGACCTTTTGTTTTTCATACACCACTCTGATTTATCTTGACTTTACTTCTCTGTTCCTTTAATAACTTCCATTACTATTCTTTTTGGTGGGTTTCAGGAAGCAGCAGGAAAAGGAGCCCCAGAATGTGTTTTTCAGCTACTACTTTTCTTTTTGTGTATGTGAAAAAAAAATTTAAACATCTTTCTTCACTTTGTGCATTTTTTCATCTTGGTTGTAATCCCCATGGGCTTCCCACCACCAATTCACCCATGTGCCATCGCCGTAGTCCTGTGTACTCTTCCCACTCTGCCAGTTTTGAGCCAGTTCCCCTTTCTACCCCATAACATGTTTGTTGTTTTCATTTTTACTTTATTACATTTGCTTCTCTCTCTCTCCCCGCCCCCTTTATGCCCCTGCTATGGGTAAAATCATCCAGTATTTTTCCTTTTCTTTCTGGCTTATTTCACTAAGCATGATCCCTTCCCGCTCCATCCACGTTGCTGCAAAAGGCATGAGTTTATCTTTTTGACTGCCGAGTAATATTCCATTGTGTATATACACATTTTTAAGTTGCATCCACACACTGATGCACCTCTGGCATGAGTGTAAACGTGTGCTCAGGCTTCCCCAGGGGCTCCAGTGTGGGAAGACAGACCTGCTTTCCGTGCAGGCCACTCCCGCACAGTCGCCGTTTGCTCAAGTGCAATCAATCATTCCCAGTGAGGGCTGAGGTGCTGCAGGGAAACAAAGGCTTTGGTCTTAATTTCATTTCGCTTTTAACCACTTCGCAGGAGTGACTGCACACGGATGAGGCCCTTGGGGGAAATCCCAACGTCCTCGTGGGCAGCAACACGAGGCCACCTGGCAAACTGCTGCCCCCTAGCGCCAGCCTTACAGTCCACTTCAGGTCACCTTTGTGACGTAGTAAAAGGACGAGTCACCTAGAGGATGGACTTTTGCTCTTCATCCTGAATAACTGAGATTACTCATAGAATCTTTTCATTCCACAGGAGGCTACTGTAGACACGACACTGTTCACCTACATGTTTTGGATTCTTACCTTTTCCAAAACAGTTACGCTAACATCAGGCCCCACTGACAGCCTTCAGGAGCTGGGACACAGCTCGTCATTGCTCTGCACAGCAGTGTGCGCAGGAACAGAAGTGGGGAGGCAGCACCCCAGTTTGTGTTTGTGTTTAGTCAGTCCCCGTCTCCCACTGGAAGCACTGCAGGATGTCAGGCACCAGTCTCTCACCACGGAGGACAAACAAGGAGCCTTTCTTAGCCCTGGACATGGTAGACATCACTTTGCATGCAAGACTTAGGGCCCCAAATCTCACCTGCTTTCCAGTTGAAAGCAGTTACGTGTAATACTGTGTGGCACCGGTCACAGGCAGGGGCAGTAAGGCAGGGAGACCACCATCCTGGCCGCGGTGACTCTGACCATGGTGGGCAGGCGGGCTGGGCTGCACTTGGAGGGCGGGTGGGCCCCGGGTGTGGGAGGAGGAGGGACATTCTAGTGGGTGGGTGAGGGAGGAGCCCTGTGCAGGGGCAAGTATGCCTGCAATGCTGAGGGTCAGCACTGGGCCCAGGATCCAGGTGGACAGTGCAGGGTGTGAGAGGAGGGGTGCAGGCTGGGTGGACTGTTGAGGCGTCATCTTACGTGGCCTGGAAGTCAAGCACATTGCTTGGACTTGATTCCGGGGGGACTAAGGGGTAGAGACAGGTGTGTGGAGTTAATGAGAGCAGCCTATAGAGCCTCGGCAGGAGTGGCTTCAGGGGCACGTGGGGGGCATGGTTTGAGCAAATCAGAGGACCCGGAAATAAGGTTGCCTGGAAGCTGAGGAGACTGGGGTGATTCCGGGTTTCTTGGTGCCCGTTCCTCAGGCCTCACCCTCTGAGGCAGACTGACTAACTTGCTTTGCTCTGCTTTCTCCCTGGCAGGGCGCAGGCTGGCACAGTGATCTGCCGGAGGATACGCGGACACGCTGCTGACGGCAGCTGGACAGAGAGGGCCGGACCCTCCACTTCAGGGGACAAGATCTAAGCTTATGCCTCCTCGGCGGTCTCCCCAAAGCCAAGCCCAGACTGCGAAGAGCTGAGACAGGCCCGGCTGGCATTAAAGATGGGGCCCAGGACGTTGGGGTGAGGCTGTCGGGGGAGGGGGAGAGCTGGTGATGGGGGCGAGAGAGATGAGGTTTGGGAGCTCAGAGGTGAAGGATGTCGGAGGGCGCGTGGCTGTGCCTCAGACGCACCCAGGAAAGCGTGTCTGTGGGAGATTAACAAATAAACATGGCAGAGTCTCGGAGGCCGTGCGTTTTGCTGTATGAAAATGTCAACAGCTGAGTGAGGCAGATGAGTCAACCGTCATGACAAAAGCAGGTGGGTACCTAAGAGGCAGGGCACCCGCCAGCTCCCCAGGCACCACCCATAGATCCTCAGAAGGAGGGTTGCCCTACCCTCTGCAGGCACCTCACCCTGGCCGGGCTGCGCTCCAGGAAGCGAGCTGCGCGAGCGGCGGTGTAGGACTTACCCACCTCTTCTCTGTACATACGCGGCTGTCCGCCAAGGTCAGAGCCCTCAGTCCCGTGGCTTTCCCGGGGCTCAGATAACACTGCAGCTTCTCCTTGGAGCAACGGACTTCTTCCCTCAGCCACACTGCTCCCCCGCCGCGGGCATGCGTTCACACCTGTCCGCAGGGGAAGGAGGACGCGCTGGCTTCTGGGAAATGTGCCCGCCCACTTTCTCTTTCTTCTCTCTCCGCCATGCCTCTAGGGAGCTCTGGGAGGGAGGAGAGCTCTCTAGTGACCATTTGTCTGAGAATCCTCCTCCTGAGACAATACACGAGGGGAGATTTTCTTGCTCTGCGTTTTCTTCCTGAGCAGGTGATGCTGAGGTTACTGTCTGCTTTGATGCCCGGACCCTTCCAGGTAGGTCTTCACCTCCCCAGGATATTTTTTTAAACTTTATCACAGGAGTATCTCAGCCGCAGGAACCACTACCTGGTCAGGTACCCACCCCATTCATGTCTAGCAGAACATGAATTTTCAGATGTGAGCCAGCTAGTGAAGGTGTGAATGAGTGACTCCGGCCCATCTGACTGCTTAAACACTTCTGTATACACGCCACCAAGAACTGACACACTGCTTGCTACAAGCAAAGGTGGTTCAGACACCCCTGTGCTGTGTGAGCCACATGGATACCTGGGGGAACACTCTAGGCAGAGGGAGCGGCAAGTGCAAAGGTCCTGGGGTGGGAACATCACTGGCATGTTCTGGGAGGAGGCGGCCAGGTAACCGGAGGGCAGTGAGCAAGCAGGAAAGGACAGGCAGTGAGGCCTGAGTAGCTGGGAAGTGGAGGGTGGGGCTGCCCTTCAGGACTCTCCCAGTGCCCAGGAGGCCTCTGTGAGCTTCCTGAGTGGGAGGGGAAGTCTTTTCTCCAGAGTTTTGGGCAGTTTGGGCAGGTAAGTGATATGACGGGACTCCAGTTTTTTGCTTTTTTTTAATTTAAGATTTATTTATTTATGCATACACAACTGGGGTACAGGCCAGAGGTGCAGGGGCAGTGAGAGGAGTCCCCAGAGACACAGTGGGGAGCAGAATAGGCTGATGGACGAAGTACACTGCTGAGGGGAGTAGCAGACTGGTCAGGAGAGGTCTGCTGTGCCATGTGGGTCACCTCCGGGGCGGGGATCGAACTTATGCTGAAGTGGCTTTAGCTTCTTAGACTGTTTTAACCTACTGTGCCACCAGGGAGAGCCCGGGACTTCAGTTTTAACAAGAACAACAGGCTCAACAGGCTGTTTGAGTAATCTAGGTGAGAACAGACCGTGGTTTGGGCAGGTTGTCAAGTGGGGTGGTGCACGGTAGACAGATTATGGGTAATTTGGACAAGTCAGCAGGAGGGGAGGGAGGTGAGTATAAGAGGAGTGAAGGGAAGGGTTCCTCCAAGCCAGCAGGTTGCAGGGGCATGTGGAGGGAAGGAAAAGCTGGGAGGCAGGACCCCACAGGCCCTGTGACCCCCTTCCCAGAGACTGGCCTGTGGGGTGCCCCTCACTTAGCTGAGCAGACCTTGCCTCCTCCCCACTCAGACAGCCCCAGCCCCAGTGCTGCTTTGGAGGAAGCCAGTGGAGAGTGACAGCTCTGCCCCCCCCCACTCACCCCCCATCTTCCTGACCCTCCACCCCCACTGCGTCTAGGCCAGGCTGCATCTGAGTTCTGTGATTCATTCCCAGTCTCTCACTCTCCTCCCTCTCCACACATCCGCCCCCTGAAATGTTCCCTCTGTAAGTCCCTCACCTCCCCCCTCAGGTTAGAGCAGCTGCGCCTCTTCTTCTCTGCCCAGAGCGCTCCACAGAGCCCTCTGGGGGGCCAGCAGGCCAAGGCCATGGCCAAGTGCAGCAGAGAAGTCAGCGAGAAGGTTCCCTTTTCACTCAGCCCATGCCTGGGAGATGTGACCGCTTGTCTCCGGCTGGGACATGACAGGGGAGGTTTTGTCACATCCCAAGGGAAGCCAAATGAGAATGGGAAGCAGGGGCCCAGATACTCTGGGGTGGAGACAACCAGGAAAAGAAAGGTGGGTGCATGGATGGCACCAGCAGAGCCCAGAAAAGAAATCTGGGAAAAGAAATGCCCAGGGGAGGCTGAGCACTGCTCTATCACTGCCCCAGGGAGGGGCCCCGGGAGTGGCTGGAGGATGGCAGCCTTTTGGGCTACGGGAGGAGACCTGAGGTCACTGATTGGCCTGAGAACACCCCCGCTGTCTGCCCCGGGAGCCCCATTCCCGGAGTGACCAGTGCCTGTCACTATAGGGGAAGAGTCAGTGGGTCACGCCCCTCTGGGCTGCATCGCTGGTGAGCTTGTGTGGGCTGACTGGTGGCCTGGAGCTCGCTGGGTGCTGAAGGGTGTCTGGTGCTGTTCATCTCCTCCAGCGTGGCAGCCATCCCAGGTGGCGTGGAAACGTGGGCACAGTCTGGACCGCAGGACCAGGTTGGCAGCCACCAAACTTGCCACGTGACGCATGTCTAATCTCTGCCTGCCTTTACTCCCTGGCCCTCAGTTTCACTGGGAAATGGAGAATTCGCCAGTGTCTCTTCTCACTTAGTAATTCTGAACTTTTAAACGGCATCACGTGGATCATGGAGATAAAACATGACCAGAAAGGAGAGCCCTCTCCTCTTGCCTAGGGAGTCTGTCATTCCATTCTTGTGCTCACCAGGTGATTCAGTGCTGGTTGAATGATCCTGAGGCCTAGCGGCAGCTTTAGGGATAACCTTTGGTCTAAGGTTTCTGAGATGATGGAGTTAATAATAGAACTCTATAGAAGTGGAGGGCTTCTGAAATGTATCTAGCCCCTGGGGAGCAGTGTGGTAACCATCACTATTACGACACGGTCACCTCAAAGCTCGCTTGTGAAAGGGGTGGGGCTCCCCAGGCTCCTGAGCTCAAGTCCTCAGGCCTGAACCCCATCCTGGAGACCCTGGCTCGGAAGGCCACAGACGAGGGCCCTTCCCCTCTGGGCTCACAGAGTACAAAGCCAAGGGGCCTTGGGAGGAGTGGGAGTGATGGGGCGGGTGCGCTGGACAGTGCCTCTGAAGCCACAGCACAGGCTGTCGGGCTCTTCCGAGTGGGAGGATGTGACAGTGCTGCAGCTTCCTCCTGGCTGAGCAACAGACTTCGAGCTGATTTGGGAACATCTCAGGGATGGACACCAGCTGGCTTGCACACCCCCCCACCATATGGAGTGCAGCATGCCCCGGAGAGGTGAAAGGGAGGTGTCTGCAGTGTGGGCGTGACAGGGAGAGGCATCCCAGGTAGCAGGCCAGCCCATTCCTGGCTCTCGGGCTCTGGCCGGCTGACCCTGAACCTCACAGCAGAGATGGGAAAGGCCTGTTTCTGCAGCCGCAGCCTCCTGTGCCGGAGGCTGTAAACAGAACAAAAGAACAATCTCCCCAAAGCGTCTTGGGGCTGTGTTGTGTCTCCCAGCAGCTGCTTTCTCCCCAGGACTCAGAGCCACTTTCCATTCCTGAAAACCCCTCTAGAGGGAGCCATCAGCACTGGTATATACTGGACTCAGCCCACAGGCTGTCTTGGGGTGCCCCTGGCATTAGCTGGTGGGAAGAGATCTTGAAGCAGCACTGAGACCATTCTGCCAAGTCCTTGGCCCACAGTCCTGCTATGTGAATCCGTTAGGGCTGAGAGTCCAGCCTGCCATTCCTCTGGGGCCCAGGACCCTCTTCCCCTGAGTCCTCATGTGACTGGAGGTAGCTCAGAATGAGCCATGATGACCTGCTCCCCATATCCTCGCACAAGGAGGTGATGTGTGCAGCAGCAAACATGGCTTCTCAGAGCTCCTGGGCAGCCGGGGGGGGGGGGGGGGCTGAAGCTACCTGTGAAATCAAGTGGGCGATCGGGAAGATTCTGGTCTTTGAGGCATCCCCAGCCTTCATGAAGAGGCAAGATTAAGGTGGCAGGAAACTGCCCTGCAAACTCCAGACAGAGGCCTGTCGTCCTAGGGACTTCTGCCCAACTTCTTCTCTATGGAGGGAAAATATCTGTAGGAGCTAGGAGATGACACAGCAAAGAGATCAGGTGTCTTTTGGAAAAATGATTTTCCAGCCAAATACCACTAGGTTACAGAGATTTTCCAGAATCTCACCAGGCTAAGAGTGAGGCTGAATTACATTGAACCCCTGCCTGATAATGGGGCCTGATGTGAGGATGGGGTAGAGGGGCTGTGACCCTCTAGGCTAAGCTCCACTCTGACCCTCGGGCTCCTCTGTGCAGCAGGGAGTGGATTTCCACGACCCCCAGGATCCCTGCGACAAACACCAGTTCTATGGCTCACTGTCACCAGCTGCCAGCTTGCTGCAATCTGAAGCATGTTCAAAATTCCCCTCCCCCAACATCTTTTTAAAAATCTGTAAAAAATATTAGATTGACCTCTCAGAAGCAGTTAGTGCATCAAAATGGCTCTGAAGCCTTCTGTGCTGAACAGTGTCGACAGTAATTGATGCATTTCACAGAAATAGGCTGGAGACATCCAAAAGCAGGGCCAGGCTTGACATTCTGTGTCAGCATTCACTCGCCTACTCTCGACTTGACTTTTCTGTCCTGCTGAATTCTGACAGGGTAGTGCCCACTCATGTGGACTCTGAGTTTGCCTCACACCACGGGGGCAGGGTCCTCGCTCCTCTCAAGCCCTCCTCAATCTCTCAAAGATGCCTCCAGGGACCCAGACTCCATACCGAGCTGGTTGTGAGGAGAAATAAAGTCAATGATGTTGGGTGGGGGAGGGAGGAGCTTCTTAAGAGTGGCAGTGGGCATTCCTCATTCCCAGGGGTGGGCTGTTCCACCCGGTACACATCCTTGGGAATACAGAAG